GGCTGCATGGGGTGGCCACAAGACCCACGCCCTGGGATAACTGAATTGCAAAATAGAATTCAGCTGCAAGCTGAATTTAAGTCTGTATTTAAGTATGTTCCTGAAACTTTTATGTGTGCCTGCTGTCACTCTTGGCAATGTGTATTTCAGTTTTGGTAAAGAAACTCGTGTGTTCAATTTTCCCTTGCCTTTTAGGGTGGGGAGAGTTGCTGGGAGAGTTGATAGCACCCGTGTGGCAGGATAATAGACTTGAGTTGTGTGGATGCCCTCTCCTGGGAATAGTTTCCTTAGAAATATCTGATGGGTTTCATCATTTTAACCCTCACATGCTACTGATCTCTCTTAATCTAGTTATTTGTGTAGCACATGGAGGGCGTTTGTATGAGTTGAGCCACTTTATATGCAACAGGGATACTCCCTGAGGAGGGGGATTTCACAAGGCAGTGCGCACCATCCTGAGTAAACCAAGCCATTTTAATCTTAGGCGGTGTCACATCTGTCATAAAAACTCATGTGCTTTTTAAGGAAGGAAAAATGACAGGAAAAAATCATCTCTGTTTTATTGTTGTTTTCTCTTATTGTGTAGTTTTTAAATATTCATAACAATGAACCATTTTGTTTAGACTAAAGCAACTGCCGTTCAGCCAAAGTAGTGAACACTTTTTGTTTGCTAATTTAAAAAGCAGCTCAATGATTGGTATGGCGTTTATTGTGAAGCCATGACAAAAGAGTTCTGGTGGTTTTAATAGTTTGAGCTTACGAGAGCTGTCGTTAATTTCATCTGTAGTGTTGCAGGTGAAAAAATGCACAATGGATAAATAGTCTATATTGGTTTAACTGAACATAATATATAGTGTGTTCTGGAGTTGTTTGTCTCAATAGACTATAGTAATCAAAAGTAATGAACCTATTATGTGCAGGACCTTGGAGAGCGTCAAATGGCAGTAAAAGTGTGGCACATAAAAGGTTTATTAAAGGAAATTAAAGTCCATCATTGCCACACCTGCTCCCCTATTATAAGTCTATGGCAGGTCAGTGCCTTCAATCACATCCTAGCCTCTGAGAGCAGAGACGTGGTTCCCATTACCATGGCAGTCACACTGCTTCTGCTCTTGTCAGAATTTAAGGATGGGAGCCACGGAGCACACCTTCTGCCTGCCTCTGATTTTCAGCAAGTGAAACAACTTATTTATATTTAAGAATTCCTCCTGACAATGTGTAGAAGTGAATTAAACAAAGAGATGATTAGTGGATTCTAGAGAAACGAATGGATGTTGTCAAGTTATAGTCTTTGAAAACAAAGGCTTGAAAGTCCTTCCACATCCCTCTGAAAATTATTTGATTACACTTAAAATATTCAATAATGTAGGCAATTTGATACTGGCATTCAGATTTCACCTTCTTTATACATTTAGATGATCATAACCAGTAGTTTTTCTGGAATTCTGGGAGTAAATATAAGTCATTGTTGACACTCAAAATTTTCAATATTATTTTCTGGGGGCATTATAAGGGTTTGTCTGCATATTGCTATTTTACATGGGTAATTATCTTTCCTAACTTAGGATGTACAAGTAGCAAGGAATTTTAATTAATCATCCAAAAATCTTTTGGTTCAGCATTTGAGATTTTATCCTTTCCACTGCTACTGTTGACAGAAGCTTTGGACTCACCAGCAATACTTGTGGTCAAAGCCATCTGCACTCTTGCTCTCTCTCTGAAGTGTCTCTAAAACTAGTGGTATTCGAGGACAGTCACAGTTAGATCCCTGTCTTGTTAGAATATGATTCAAATGTGAAAGGCCTCAGGCACCAGTGGCTCATGTCTGTAATCCTAGCTACTTAGAAAGCTGAAATCTGAGGATCTGGGTTCAAACCTAGAAAAAGTCCACAAGGTTCTTATCTCCAATTAACCACCAAAAAAGCCAGAAGTGGAGTTGTGGCTCAAGTGGTAAAGTGCAAGTCTTGTGCACAAAAACTCAAGGACAGTACCTATGCCCTGTACTGGTATACATGCACATGGGGGCGTGCACACGCACACACACACACACACACACATATACACACAAAAGTGTGGGAGGCTAATACTGTTTTTCATAATGGCCTTCATAACTTCAGAACTTTTTACATTTGATCAAAGTCAAAGAATGACTTCAGGACTTTGTGTTCACATTGCAGATGGATGCAGAGCCTGAAGATAAAACACTACATACTCACTGTAAAGGAGCTCAGGGTGAGTTAGCAAGAAGGCTCCCATACACAGTGTCCACTGCACAGTGAAAGATGGCAGTGCCAGTGCTCCTCCTTAGTGGAGCTCAGACTATTAACAACTTGCTCAGAGTTGCTTTGATTCAAATGAGGCCAGGACACTGATTCTTGGCACTGAGGAGCAAAATGTCATAAATCGGGAATTAAAGGACTCAAAAAAGTCCAAATGATGAGTGATACTTTTAAAAAAGCAATCATGAGTAGATCTGAACATCATTTGAAATATTGTAAGTTTCAGCAAGGGAGGTATGCATCAAAGAGACCTTCTAATTATGGCTGTGACCTGTAGTGACCAAGGGAAAAGACTGGATTGTCAGTTTATTGCCAAAGCTGATTTTGATTTTGATGGTACCCAGTTTAGTGGCTCCCAGTCTATACTTAGTTGGAGTAAAATGATGATGTTGTTTTTTGACTCTCCCTGCTGGGAGTTTCCAGCAGCTCTGCAAAGTAATGTTTGGAAGGTTTAACTTGCCTGTTATTCCTCTCCTTTTGTAACCAACAGATGGTAATGTAATATTGAAATATAAACAGACCCTTGATGATCTAAACAGCTGGAAAACAGGATTGGCTGGCAATAACACCCCTTAAGGAAAATAACTTTTATTATAATTAGCTATATTTCCATGACCCTTAATTCAGTAGAAAAACCATAGGTTTTCTACTGAAAAGGCACTGAGTAGCTATTTCCTCCTACCACCCCTCTCAGTGTCTTCCTTACTCAGGAAGAGCCAGACTGGCTGCCTCCTGCACTTACCTGGAAGATTTTGAAATTTACAGTTGAAAGCAGCTAATCAAGTGAAACCTTTTTGCTAGTTATATGCTAATGTGTATGTTCAAGGTGGTTCATTACTCTTTTAGCAAAATCCAGAATCCTCAAATTTTAACATTGTCAAGGATGCTTTTTTTTCCCCCCTGAGATTTCATATATGGCCTGACTCTCTTTGAAATTGCAATCCCGCCTTTACCTTCTTCTTTAGTGCTGGAATTACAGGTGAGTGCCACCTTGCCAGGGTCAGGATAATTTTAGCCACAGAATCCAAACTATAGAGCAATGGTTTACAAGATATGGGAACTCTCTCTTCCAAAACAAAATTTTTTCCCTGTATTATTTTCTAGTTTTAGTTTAAATTGCCTATAAAGAAACTATATTTTACATCTTTATATTTGTAATGTAGTGTTTTTAGAGTTTAAAATTTTGTATACAACAGCCTCTCAATAGGATACAAAAAAAATTTTTTTGGTCGGTCGTGGGGCCTGAACTCTGGGTCTGGATACTTCCCTCAGCTCTTCAGCTCAAGGCTAGCACTCTACCACTTGAGCCACAGCGCCACTTCTGGCCTTTTCTGCTTATGTGGTGCTGAGGAATCAAACCCAGGGCCTCATGAATGCAAGCCAAGCACTCTACCACTGAGCCACCTTCCCAGCCCCAGGATACAAAATTTTTAAGAAGAGTTTGTTTCATTATTTAGGATTGATTCACACCTGCTATAAATATCAAGTTTTTAGAGATATTTGGATTGTTTCTTTTATTTTGATGTCTCAAAGCATAATACTGAATTATAGTTTTGAAATGTGTGCCTTTTAATTTGCAATTCTTTTTGGATGTCACATTCTCTTGGCACACGTATATACACCCTTAAATAGAGCCAAACTGTTCTTCTAGAAGTGAAATGACTGTTTCTTGTGAAGCATGAGTAATTTTTAAAACCACCTGTTGTCTTCATCCATATGCTATATATCCATTATGTGGGTAGGTATTTATAAACATGAACTCCTTCCGTTCTCAGCCCTCCAATCAGAAAAATCGAAGCTGTTTTGGATTTTTTTTTTTTACTATATTTTTTGAAAGGTTGTTGATATTAGCTTATCTGACGCTATCTATCTCTCCCTACCTACATGTAGGAATTGTACAGAATAAAATTGAAACACATTCATTTAGTACAGCTTTACCAGATTCATTTGAATGCTTTTTTGTGTATATATGCTGGTCCTGGGGCTTGAACTTAGGGCCTGGCCACTATCCCTGAGCTTTTTGCTCTAAGCCATTATAGACCATTTGAACTACATCTCTACTTATGGCTGCTTGCTGCTTAATTCAAGGTTAAGAGTCCTGTGGACTTTCTGTGTTGGCTAGTTTTACTGTGATCCTCAGATATCAGCTTCCTGAGTAGCTAGGATTATAGGCATGAGCCACTAGCTCCCATGTTTGAATATTTGTTTTAATGTTTTAATGTGCTGAAATATGTCTCCTTGAGGATGAGGATATAGCACAGTCCTAAAGCACTTGCCTGGAATGAAGAAGGCCCTGTGTTCAATCTGTAGTATCACATACACACACACAAAGAAAAAAAGAAAAAGAAAATAGAAAGAAAGCCTTGAAATTATTTTAAATAATTTTATTAAAAATAAATCTTATTGTAAAGATAAGTCGAGTCTATCTTGTTCCTGTAATTTTTCAATGACCCTCTAAAGTCAGGTACTTGGAAAGTCTCATGCATAACCACAGGCCTTGGACTACCCAAGGCCCTCAGCCCCAAGTAAGACTGTTCTGGGTCATGTTCATCGGTCTTTTTAGCTAAAGGACCAGACAATAATAATAATAATAATTCCAAGCAGTTAGAAGCAAAAATGGGGCTTGTACTAACAGCTTATTGGTTATTATCTCTAGGTCAGTGAAAAATTCAGCTGACTTAGTTTTTTTCTTTTTTCTGATTTTGTGAACAGTGCCAATGGATTCTCTAATCCAGGAGCTCAGGTAAGATGTGTCCTGCATTACTTTCTCATATTGACTGGCCTTGAATTTTAGAATGGTTTGTCTTTTTCAAGTCTCATAATCCATACATCCAGGAAATAACAAGGAGAGCACTGTACTGATAATGAATCCAAAACAACTTGAATTAACAAAACATAATACTATTTTTAATAAGTTTTTATTGTGAAATACTGTACAGAGGGGTTACAGTTACATGAGCAAGGTAATGAGTACATTTCTTTTTTTTTTTTGTCGGTCGTGGGGCTTGAACTCTGGGCCTGGGCGCTGTCCCTCAGCTCTTCAGCTCAAGGCGAGCACTCTACCACTTGAGCTACAGCGCCACTTCCATGAGTACATTTCTTATCAAGCATTGTTGCCTCCTCCTTTGCTTTTCCCCTACCATCCCTTCCCTCCCACCTCTACAACTACACTCGCCCCCTCCCCCGTTTAAATTGTTAAGTTTGTTTTTCAACATAGTGTCTTGTACATCTCATTGTTGCAATGGGCCAACCTGTATCCCTATTTAAACATTTTGTTTTTTCCCTCCCCCTCCCCAAATTATACCGACATCAAATATAGTCACAACAGGGGTTATACTGTGGGGGAGGGACATACAAAGCAACAAAAAAAAAAAATCACATGGTACCTTATAAATATGTTAGAAACAATAGCAAGCAAGAAAAAAAAAAACACTTAGATTTGCTGTCCTGGACAGTGACTGTCTCTTTCCATATACCATGCATGTTAAATTTTACACTGAAGGTCAGTGAGCTGAACTATCTATCATCTGTGAACCTGATTAATGAATCACCCTGATTTTGTTATTCTCATTTTAAGTAATTAGATAAATCCATCAGGTAGTCACATTGTATGTTATAGCTTACACATCAGAAAATAATGTATCTAAAAAGTTTGTGAGTAAGTTTGCATCTTAGGTACTCTTAACACCTCTGACAATACTTTGAAAATCTCACCTTATTAGGTTTTACATGATAAATTCTAACTAGATTTTCTTTTCATGGAGTTTTTGACAAGGTATAATTATTTTTTAAAAAAAGAAAAGAACAGGGGCTGGGATGTAGCTCAGTGGCAAAGCTCTTGCCTAGCAAGTGCAACGTCCTGGGTTTGATCCCTAGAACCAAAAAAGAAAAGCCAAAAAAATACAGTTAAAAAAAAAGAAAAGAACATACTTGTTTAAAAAAAAAGATATGGTGATGAAACATCTTCTGTCAGGAACATGATGTTCCCCTGGTCCATTTTGTCTACCTAGAGTCCCATATCCACTACATATGTTCTTAGGGTAATGCTTACAAAATGGAATATGTGTAACAGTATCTGCATATTAGGGGGCATGAGTAACACTTTACATCATTCTTTTCCTAAGCACCTGACCTTGGATTTCCCTAGCATGGATTATTTTGGTTGGTTATTTCTGTTGCATATGGTTCATCCTGTACCACATTAGTCTACCTGTTTAGTGAGCACCTACCTATTTGAATTCATGAGGCTGATGCTCTTGCCTGCTAGGGAATCTGTGGTTCTACCTGGGTTATCAGTACCTTTGTTAAGAATTGTAATTTGTAAACTACTTTGATGAAAGCAGGGCATATAGTACACTTATGCATTTGAACAGCACTAAAGTATTGAACTGCTAGTCTCATTTAACTTCTTTTTTTATTGTGAAAATACCATACATTTCACTTCTTTTTTTTTTATTGTGAAAATACCATACAGAGGGGTTACAATTACATGGGCAAGGCAATGAATGCATTTCTTATCCAGCATTGTTGCCTCCTCCTCTGTTTCCCCTTCCCATCCCTTCCCATCTTCCCCCACCACCCCCCTGCGCCAAAGTTGTAAAGTTCATTTTCGACATAACATCTTATACATCTCATTGTTGCAATGGGTCCACCTGCATCCCTATTTAAACAATTTGTTTTTCCCTTCCCCTCTACATATTATGCCAACATCAAATACAGTGAAAACAGGGGTTATACCATGGGGGAGGGACATACAAAGCAGCAAAGAAATATCTTATAAATACGTTAGAAACAATAGCAAGAAAGAAAAAACATTTGAGTCCTTATCTTGGAGTTCATTTCACCTAACATCAACTTATCTCACCATTTCTGCTTGTCTCAGACATAAACTAGTTACTGCAAATAAGGGAAATCATGGGACCTATATTTCTTTGGGCCTGGCCTACTTTACTTAATATAATTTTTTCCAAGTATTTCCATTTCTTAACAAATGGGGCAATGTCATGATTTCTGATGGAGGCATAGAATTCCATTGTGTATATATACCACATTTTCTTGATCCATTCATCTACTGAGGGGCATCTGGGTTGGTTCCATATCTTAGCTATGGTAAATAATGCTGCAATAAACATGGCTGTGCTGGTAGCTTTAGTATGGTCTTGTTTGTGATCATTCGGGTAAATGCCCAAAAGTGGGATTGCTGGGTCATAGGGGAGCTCTATGTGGAGTCTTTTGAGGAACCTCCATACTGCTTTCCAAAGTTGTTGAACAAGTTTACACTCCCACCAACAATGCAGTAAGGTTCCCTTCTGTCACATCCTCTCCAGCATCTGTTGTTATTAGAGTTCTTGATTCTAGCCATTCTAACTGGGGTGAGGTGGTATCTCAATGTTGTTTTGATTTGCATTTCTTTTATGGCTAGGGAGGTTGAGCATTTCTCTTTCCTCTTCAGAGAAGTTTCTCTTTATAGCTTTAGCCCACTTATTTATTGGGCAGTTGTTTTTTTCAGGATTTATTGTTGGGGGATTTAATTTTTTGAGTTCCGGGTCTATTTTAGATATGAGACCCTTGTCCGTTGTATGGCTAGTGAAGATCTTCTCCCAGTCCATGGGCTTTGTATTGATCTTGCTATGTATGTCCTTTGCTGTGCAGAAGCTCTGCAATTTCATGCAATCCCATTTGTCCAACCTTTGTTTGATTTGTTGTGTTTCTGAGTCTCTTTTAAGAAAATTTCAGCCTGTGCCAAGGAGACCTAGGGTTTCTCCTATTCCGTCCTGTAATTTTTTTCAGAGTGTCTGCTTTGTCTCTGAGGTCTTTGATCCACTTGGAATTGATTCTGGTGCAGGGTGATATATGAGGATCTATCTTTAGTTTTCTACAAGTAGTTGACCAATTTTGCCAGCACCATTTACTGAAGAAGGCTGTCTTTCTTCCATTCTGTTTTTTTTTTTTTTTTAGCTCCCTTATCAAAGATTAGATGGCTATAGGTCTGTGGGTTCATTTCTGGGTTTTCTATTCTATTCCATTGGTCCTGAGGTCTGTTCTTGTGCCAGTACCAAGTTGTTTTGATTACTATGGCTTTGTAGTAGAGTTTGAAATTTGGTATTGATATTCCTCCAGTACTGTTCTTTCTGTTAAGAATTGTTTTTGCTATTCGGGGTCTTTTATTGTCCCATACTCATTTAAATTCTTGCCTTTTAAATGTGTTCTCATTTAAAATTTCTGGAAACTTTTCTTCCTTCTAGAAAGATTGAAAGAAGCTTGAAATTGAATGTCTGAAGTTTGTAAGTGATTTGCAGAACCATGGGTAGGCTTCTAGTGGTTTGTTCCAAGAACTATGCTTGTGACCATAGAGCTAGCTCCTCTGAGGAGCAAATATGAGTTTGTGCAAGAGTCCGGAAACTGTAAAGGGAAAAAGAAACCTTTTTAGTGATGGGTCTTGAAGAATAACTTGAGGGAAAAAAGACAGAATTTTTAATGAATTTATGTTATTCATTAACCTAAGAAGAAAAATAAAGCTCAAAGCAAAGAAGGAAGTATTTAGCAGAAAGAAGCAAATTTATGGGGGGGAATGTTTTGTATTGCCTTTATAGAGAAATATAAATTACTGTTTAGCATATTATAATAGTAATCATGACAAAACTAATATTGGTTGAGGTCTTCTGTATCAGATACTATTATACTTATATCTTTATATCATCCAATTACTTCACTTTATCCTTCTATTCTTATAAAATAGGAACCTTCAGGACTTCAGTTTTCAGGGAAGTACAGTTAAAACAGTTTATATACGTTGCCCAAGGGTATTCCACTGGCAGGTAACGTCCAGGCCAGCTTCTCCATCGCCCAGCTATGCTTTCTCTCACCCACAGTACTATGTGAAATGTAAACCAGAAAGAAACTAGTCATTGTCTATGCCCTCAAGCAGCTGCATTTTCAAAGCGCCACATTTTAACCTCTCTATTTTGTTTTCAGCAACCTAGTTTTCTAAAATGTGGGCAAAGGATACATTATGCTTATTAATGATGTTTCTTACTCTTCTACTTCTCTAAAATTCATTTTTGCATCAAGTATTACATTTTACCTAATTTGTTAAAGTAATTCGGAAAGGTGGTGACAATTACTAGGATAAATCTTCTATTTTCCTTTAAGATCGGTTTTTAAAAATTACCAACTAATCATCATAAATTTTGCAATTACTTATGTTCAACAGGAGGAGCATGCTTAAGGTGGATAGGTATCAAGCTGTTTCTTAAGTTAACCCAAACATAGATCCTAGTTATGATTCTCATACACCTTGGGAGAAAAGTAATGATTTATGTGAAAATTCATATTTTAGCATCTTTTTTACTTTTGTGCCAATTTTATACAGCTTTATCAAAGTCCCTACAACTGCTTTTCCAATTTAATCCACAGATTTGTGATCCTGAATCATGACATGTGCCTGAATTCTGAATATCCCTAGGAAATGTTGCTTGTTTTCCTAGCATAAAACTTAGGGCTATTTTGTTGAGAACATTGACAACTTTATTTAGTCTTCCTTTTTAGAATGCATTGGACTATGTTATTGCTTCCAGAGATGCCCTACAAAAATACTAATACAAATGAAGCTAATTTAAATATATTGTATATTGTTCATGGCACTAATAAAAATTGATACTGACATTCTCATCTTCTTATTATACTCTATGTCAGCTACTATCATCGCCATTAAAAAACCAATTTATAACCACAGGCCTACCT